CAACTTTCAAGCCAGAAGAAATGTGGGTGCTTTATTAATATCCTACCCCAGATGACGTCACAGGACAGTCCAACATTTTATAGGGTGGTAAGACTTGGTTTTCCGGCTTTTTGATGCTTTTAACGACCCCAACACATCTAGAACTTGCTCTAGCCCCAACCCAAGAGAGAGTGCAGCCTATCTACCACCACCTGAAATATTAGACTGTCCCGTGAACTGTGGATTTCCCCTTTTTGGGGTAAAATATTAATAAAGCACAGAAATGTGTGTAAATTTAAAATAGTCCAGGAATTTCGATGTAACCAGCTGGTTGATAGATTAGCTGCTGCCGTTTCTCTGGGTTGTGAGCTACTATATGTCAAAGCGGACGCGATGAAGGCTTTCTGTGATCAAATGGACGATGCAAGAGAATAGACAGACAATCCATACATTGAAAGACTAATTCAACAAGAGAGGCGAGGTGGGGGGAGGGGGGCGAGTAGAGGTTATGGAAGATATTCAACAATGTGTGGGAAACATAGGCGGACTTTTAGTCAGGTTACAACTGTTACTGTTAGCATTTTGAATCTTCGTTGACTACTGAAGACGGGGACGGATCACGTCTGGGAATGTCTCAAGTAAAATGATGTCAGTTCTTGATTCATTCATTTAATGTGAAATTATGCTAATTAGTTAATTCCATGATGTCTCATTAACATAAATCATGGTATTTGACCAGATTCAAAACTGGTGACCGATTGTAGGCTGAACAAAGGTCAACAGCTAATACAAGATTTTGTGAGGTGTAATCTGTTTTCTTTAGACCAGATAAGTGAGATTAGGTAAAATTTGTTCTATGTACAAAATGTAGTGTGACTTTACAAACATCCTGTACATACTCGAACCTCTCCTCTTCAGGTTTATGGGCTGTGGTCAACAACGCTGGTGTGGGCGGTACTATAGGCACAATGGAGATGATTCCCCTAGAGTCATACATCTCGACGTGCGGCATCAACCTCTTCGGACCCATCGAAATCTCCAGAACCTTCGCCCCCTTGCTGCGGAAATCCCAGGGCCGGCTGGTGTTTATGACCAGCGTCATGGGCAGATACCCGGCCACGCCTGGGCCTTACTCGGTCTCCAAATTCGGGATCGAAGCTTTCGGGGATGTCTGTCGCCATGACTTGTCAGCCTTCGGCATCAAGGTCAGCATGATTGAACCTGGATACTTCAAGACCAACATCCTTAGTCCACTGCTGGACGGAGCTAAAGAAGCTTACGCCAAGACTGAACAAGAGGTTCGTGAGGCCTACGGGAAAGATTATCTGGACCAAACAGCTGCCGGTGTGGGCGCTATGCAGGTCTATGCGTCTCCTGACACCCACAAGGTGGTGGATGCCTATGTGTCAGCGCTGACCTCTGTATACCCCAGGCCGAGATATGTAGTTGGAACCGATGCTAAGTTGGTTTACCTGCCCTTGGCTTTTCTGCCGGAATGGATCGGGGATACGTTACTGGCCAGCTTGAAGAAACGACTTTCAGCCAAAACTACTCAAATACAATAGAAGGGCGTTTGAGCATCTCCCTGTATTTTTTTTTTACCTTGTGGTTTCCATCCAAGTTAATTTCTAGTTATACTATAAACGTGTTATCTTAACGTGTATTCTATGTCATGTTTTTCTTTGGCACCTGAGACTGAAAAAGAAAGTTTTGTATGTGTGTGTGTGTGTGTGTGTGTGTGTGTGTGGTTCAGGTCAGCACATTCCGGCGTCTTTCTTTTGGGCACATACAAACGGGTACTAGACAATTGTCTTCAGTTAGTCATGCACATAGATTATTACCCCCCCCCCCCTACACACACACACGCACACACACACACATAAGACTACAGATCACATCAGCCTGGTGTCGCCTTTACAGGTGCTCCAACTATATCTTCTTGGAAGGTTAAACAGGGTATTTGTTTTCAGCACTTTTGGCATAGTAAAACACTCAGAATGTTATTAATGGTGGTCCGAAAGTTCGTTATGTAAGAGATAGGTACCAACCAGCTTGGTCTCTTACGAGATACGCCTGGTCAAATAAGAAAGGAACAGATTCGGATGCACAGCAGACGCCAGGGCAAGATGATACTAAGGTGACTGGATCAGACGGATGATGGCCTAGAAGAAAAAACATCTGGAAGACAAGGATAAAAGGAACACACTGGGGCCAAGACAGGAAGCAGCGGTCTATGTATTAGCAAAGGGACGCAAAACCAGAGCGCTGGCGCACATATCACAATATTAGTCACGCAAGTGGGGCAAATAAACCAGACCACAAATATAACCGGAGACTATACAACGAATTATTACAAATACAAATGCATTCAATGTTAAAATTGCTTCATGCACCCCTTGAAACCTATCACCACATTACCTATCTAGTGTATACTACCCGTATACTATACTAAAATATACAATACTATAACTTGAGTATTCTATACTAAAATATATTATACTATACTATACTATAACTAAAGAAGTATATACTATGCTAAAATATACTATACTATAAAGTAGTATAGCAGCCCAGTGGTCTGCAACTTGGGGAAAGGGGGGGGGGTGATGCTGACCACATCACTCGCCGATTGGTCTATAAAAATATAGGTCTAGCCCTATATACCCTATACGCCTAATGGCGTGGAAAAGGGTCCTTTACTTTACTTTTTATATACTACTTTAGTTATAGTATTGTATATTTTAGTGTAGGATATGCTAACTATAGTTATAGTATAGTATATTTTATTATAAAAAGTAAATAAGCAAAGATCCCTTTTCACACCTGTAGGCGCATCGGGTATATGGAAAGTGTCCCACATTTTTACAGACCAATCGGCACTAGATGGGTAATGTGGTCAGCATTACGCCGGCCGTCTTTACTTCCCCAGGACAGCCATCCTGGTACCCATTTTAGGCTGGGTCGACCTGCGATGCCCCATACCATGATAAAAATCCACGCAGCCAGCAGTGGGTTGCGATCGCAACGCCTATGCCACGGTTACCGTATATTTTAGTATAGTGTATACTAATTATAGGTATAGTACAGTACAGTACAGTACAGTACAGTACAGTACAGTACAGTACAGTACAGTACAGTATAGTATAGTATAGTATAGTATAGTATAGTATAGTATAGTATAGTATAGTATAGTATAGCATAGTATAGTATAGTATAGTATAGTATAGTATAGTATAGTATAGTATAGTATAGTATAGTATACACAGCTATAGTATGTAGTTAGGTTCTTGCTGGGAAAATATCTTTAAGTTGAACCAATATCCACAAAGGGGAAGCTTTTGGTTATTACTATGACTATGTTATGTGCGCCACATAAACTGGCTTAGCACTGCACGCCATTAAGAGCCCTGAAAAATGAATCTTGCAGTGTTGATGCGATCAAAGTAGACAGACCCAAATACTGTTCCGACCGGCTACAATGTCGTCTACTGGCGAGCCAATAGGCGACCCGGTTGCCGATGTTGCAGAACTATAGTACTTATTTAGGAATTTATATATGCCCCCTCCCTTCTCCCTCACGTCCACAGAGCACTGCTAGTGGCACGAGGTGCTACCATTGTGGGTGACCTCAGTATAACTTTCTTGGGGTTGAACGGGATATCTGGGATATGTCCATCAGTCGAGATTTCTGGGAGATGTTGTTCGGATCTCAGTTTTGTTTCATTCACTGACTGAATAAATCGGCTGATTGTACACATGCCTGCGTCACACTGTGTTCCTTATGTTGAAAACTCTTCATTTATCGAATAGTAACGTAGAGGTAAAGGAACTTTTTCACCCTTAAGTGGTATTGGGCACATAGGGCTAGACCAAAATTTAATAGATGAAATGAGGGTTATTTTTACCCAGATAAGGAAGGTTGGGGGGAAAGCCCAAGGTTAACCGAAATACCGAGATATTCCAGATACTCGGATTAAACGAGGTTTTCAAGATAGGTAATGACCACGAGTTATCACGTGTAACACGATGATAGCGACTACATGTCGCCCCGTGGAAGTAAAGGACCACCACGTGTTGCCACGTTAAACTAACCCGTAGTATAGATTCGGACCTTAGTCTGATCAAGTTAGTATGTGTTGAACTGTTGGAGCGAAAAGACGGTAGATTGATTGTAAGAATGTCAACGTGAGATTGCTTGATGTGAAAGGAAAAACCAGACGACGACTTTCGAAGCCAAGACCAGCCAGGTTAGTCTGTATAATATCAAGGAGATAAGAAAGATACATCTTTGCAAACTCTGGTCAGTGACCGCATGAGGAACCAGCACGTTGAAGTCTGCGTGATGTGGTATGTGAAAGCTGTTTCTTAGGACAACGACTGGACGATGATGTAAGTCTAAGATAAATCATTAAACTGATGTATCGAACCCTTAAGTCGGTTTCGGCTTGTTCTAGTTATGTCAACGTAGAATGTGTGCTAAGAGCATTCACTACACATATCATCTTTTAGACAACGAGTCAGCGCTCAAAGAAGCAGCGCATTTCAATAAACCAATCGGCACTTGGTGGATGATGTGGTGCGCATCACACCGGCTGCCTTGACCTCCCAGGAAACCACCTGGTACCCACTCAAGGCTTGGTGGACCTGGCAGTCAAGATCATTTCTGACAAAAGGCCGGCCCCGACAGGACCCGAACCCACGACCTTCCGATCAATCAAAATGATAATTAATTCAATGAAACATGTTGCAAAATAATTAAACTATAGTTCAATTTGTGTATAAATCAACTCAATAACAAGTGTTAACACCGAGCGACTACGTCAGCCTTACAAAAACGGGAATTCCTGTTTCAGCTGTATGGCCTTATATCCGGAGCTGGCCGTGTTATACATACCCAAAGTCTGCCATAAAGAAGCCCCATGTTGGGCGCCATTTTGTGCAAGCCGGGAAAAAATGGGAAAAAAAGAGAAAAAAACATGGTACCTAATTTATAATTTACCCCTGACGTCACGACAACGTCACGGAAGACATTCCCAATAAATTCTAGGGTGTTCAGGTTGTAGTTTCTCGCGATTTATCTACAGCCAAGTTTAGGGTTAGGGTTAGGGTTAGGGTTAGCATAAGAAGACACTAGATTAACACTAAAAAAAAAGCACCACACAACAGCACACATCCACCCCTTGAAATAATGGACTGTCAGGTCAGCTGTGGATTTCTCACGGGGATTTCGTGTTTGGGGTACGTTATAAATTAAGAACCAAAAACATAGAAGTAGGAAGATGAGGAAAAGGAAATGTGGTAAGAACATTAAGTAGTTCACGTTGAACAGCAAAAACAAGAAAGTAAAGAAAAGATAACGGTTCTTCTGTGCGGGGGCCATGAAATATGATCATCAAAGCCCTGGCAAAGGGCATGTGAATAATGTTATTACAAAATAACAACAACTAACTACAACTACATATTACTACATACGCAAGGCCTATAGGGAACAGAACCTTGCCATTACAAACACAAAATTCCCCCACAAGCGTATACATGCATACACAAGATGTGAACCTTCAAAGAATGAAAAATCCATCATTGACTACGCCATAGTTAGGAAAAGGTCATTCAAGTTTGTGAGAGATGCCAGAGTCATGAGAGGACCAGAGATTGGAAGTGACCACTATCTGGTCACAATAAAGAGAACAACTGAAAGAACTGCTCCAACAAGGCAACACCGACAACTATGCAAGAAACCAAGCAACCAAGAAGGGATGAGGATTAAAGCATACAAGCTAAGAGAGCCAGATATTAAGGCTAGATACCAGGAGCTTATAGTGAAAGCAATAGGAACTGAAGAAGAATCATCAGATAACACTGAAACTCTCTGGTGCAGATTCAAGAATATCCTCACAGCAGCTGCAGTAGAAGCATGTGGTGAAGTCCCAAGTGGAAGGCGGGGACACAGGACACCTTGGTGGACAGAAGAAGTCAAATTGAAAATAGGAGAAAAGAAAAGGGCATGGAAGCAATACCTGGCAGCCAGGAACACAGCTGAAGAAATAGAAAAATATAAACAATATGTGGCACTCAGAACAGAGACCAAAAATATTGTGCTTAAAGCAAAACAGAAATCATGGGAAGAGTTTGGAGAAAAGTTGGAAAAGAATGCAAGAGAAAACCAAAAACTGTTCTACAAGACCCTTAAGAACATGAGGAAGGAGAAAGAGTGCCCACTTAAATTCATAAAAGACAAGGAAGGGGCTCTGCTTACTTCTACAAATGATATCATGGGCAGATGGAAATAATACTTCTCAGAGCTCCTCGGCGCTGAGGGAAGTCATGACCCAGAAATAATGGACCTCACTGCTGAGAAGGAATTCAATCATGGGGAAGATAACATCAGGATGGAAGAATTGAAGGCAGCTATTGAGAAGATTAAGCTGAAAAAAGCAGCAGGTCATGATGGTATAACACCAGAGATGGTCAAATATATGGGAGTCGAAGGTGAGCGCCTTCTACTGAAGGTTCTCGAGGCAGCCTGGTGTAGCAAAACTATATTAAAAGATTGGGAGATTGCCAT